GTTGCGCTTGATGGAGGACCGCGAGGGATGAAATGACATCCGCAAATGGCGTACTTGTCGGAGTTTGCATGATGGCGGCGGCTCTCCTGCTTCCTTCCCGGGTTTCGGCACCAGTGTAACAAAGTCAATGACTTGAGAAGGAAGAGGACGGGGTCGGCTTGACTGCTGCTTGTGATTTTATTCGGCTTCAAACAAATAAACAGAACGTCGCGCTACCAGCCCTCAATATAGCATGCCCTCTTGTGGATCGCTCTAATGGCCCGATGAGGTCCATCCCAATTCTTTTGAAGGGGACCTGCATTAACGGTAGAGGGCGCAATGCCGCTTTTGGGGAGGCAGGTGGATTTACCAGCTGATATTCACGACAAAACGCGCACCACCTGCGCACCAAAAGAAACGGGCCAAGAGACGATTTAATGTTGTTGTCTGACCTAAATGTCCAGCCATGGGATTACAATGAGCCGCCTGGAAAAGCATTTCCCGACGGCTTTTTGGTACTAACAGCTGTGTTGTATCTTCCTTTGTCTGAGCGTCTTGGGTCACTCGATACAACCGGTCTTTTATAATCACAAAATATGGATAGGAAAGCGGACGAGCAGGTTGGAGAGGTCGACTGTCGATATAACGGACCTGTTCAAAAGCATGTTTCAATGACTCGTCCTGAGACTGTTCCCGAGGAAAATCATCGCGTCCTGAGAGGAACAGCCTCTCGATTTCACTCTGTTCCCCTGGTACAGATCTCAGTGGTCCCAGTTCAGCCTCTCCCACCTACACGAGCGCCCCCCTTCCCTGCTTTTTCTTTTCCCAAGAGACATCCGCACACAAGCATCCCAATAATTCCTTAAAAGCAGGCCAATTCGTACATGAGACGATTTAGTTTTGTTGTTTGACCTAAATGTCCAGCCATGGGATTACAATGAGCCGCCTGGAAAAGCATTTCCCGACGGCTTTTTGGTACTAACAGCTGTGTTGTATCTTCCTTTGTCTGAGCGTCTTGGGTCACTCGATACAACCGGTCTTTTATAATCGCAAAATATGGATAGGAAAGCAGACGAGCAGGTTGGAGAGGTTGACTGTCAATATAACGGACCTGTTCAAAAGCATGTTTCAATGACTCGTCCTGAGACTGTTCCCGAGGAAAATCATCGCGTCCTGAGAGGAACAGCCTCTCGATTTCACTCTGTTCCCCTGGTACAGATCTCAGTGGTCCCAGTTCAGCCTCTCCCACCTACACGAGCGCCCCCCTTCCCTGCTTTTTCTTTTCCCAAGAGACATCCACACACAAACATCCCAATAATTCCTTAAAAGCAGGCCAATTCGTACCCAGAACATAGTGTGGAGGTGCGGGTTAACTGCGACCTCCACACTATGATTTTGTCCCCTAAATTGAGTAACAGCGGACATTAAAGGATATTCCACCACGTCCCCGCGCACGCACTGTACCTGAACCAAGCGGCCGGTATCCAATGCCTCGGATTGAATCAGGCTTTGATGGATAGAGGTTTGGTTACATGCTGAATCCACCAGAGCCTGATAGGTACCCCTCTTAATACTCACAGGTATTTGGTACCAGCCAGCCTGACCGGGGGCAGCCTGCGGGGCATCCGGGACCCGGATCATTGTCCCCACCTCCATCATTGGACACCTGTCAATAAAATGGTCTGGGTCCCCGCAACGCCAACAGGCTGGCCCAGACCTTCCCGCTGCCCTAGTGGCAGTTAGTGGGTCAAATGATTGGCGTGGAGAGAGCTGGGAACCAGATGCAGCATCGGTCGCAGCCGTGGTCAGCCCCGCCAGGTCGAGAGGCAGAGAGAGAGGGAGAAAATAAAGGGGAAGAGAGCGAGACAGCTGGAAGGGATTCGCCGAC